ATGAAATTGTCATGGAAAGCTTTTTTCATATGCACGTTTGAGAAAGCTATCAAAGCATTGTGAACTTTTACCCAATTTCAAATTATAAAAATTGCAAGATTCTTCAATATATTATATCAAGTATTCAATTTACCGATGAGAGAAATCACAATTCTGAAGAATTTCGTTGCTGCTGGAGAAAGAAGTTTGAGGAGAAAAAGGGAAACAAATTATGCTGGCCAATTCTAAAAAAACACTACGGAATCACCTTATTTCCTTTTCAAAATTTCTTGGCATACATGCATTCTACATCATAATATTTTTTATATAAAAACGGATACGCTTTTTCGTTCGCACTTGAGAAAAAACTATCAATGCACTGCGAACTTTTGCCAAATTTCAAATTCTAAAAATTGCAATATTTTTGATGTATCCCATGTAACATTTAACTGAAGAGGGAGATCACAATTTTGAAGAATTGTTGCTGGAGAAAGAAAATTTGGAAAGAGGATCTTAGGGGAGAAATGAGAAAAATTGTGCTGATCAGATTGAATGAAAGAGAAAATTTTACGTTAAAATAACAAGAAAACGAATACAGCTTTGTTTGGAGAAGTTTCAGACTCGGATTAACATAACTCATGACTGCACTGTATGAAGAGCAGAAAAGAAATTTTCAAGCTTGACTTTGAAAATTATCTTTAAAATGTCTTCAGGCCTTTGGAGAAGGAATTACTGAATAACCTACCAATTCATTATGTTCCGTTTTTACTATTACATTATTTTCTGGTGTAAAGATTTTTACAAGAATAAAAGGTTTTGGTATAATTTGTGCAAAAAACGATGCAAACAAAATTTCTTCAAATATTGGGATATCATGAGAAAACATGCTCATATGTGAAACTCACCTCCATTTTAGGATTATTCGACTCTAACAGCTTCTGCACCATTTTCAGATGATTTTCACTAAATTGCGGCAAACTAGGTGAGCTATGACACGACTGCAACAGTTGGTCCATAGCTTCGACAGCAATCTTAACATTCTTAGTGATTACAGCACTGAGATACATTGTACTTTGAGTAAGTGCACATACCTTAACCTGCACATATCGTAGTCGACCAAGGTCTCTGCTCATGCGCAGCACTAAGTATTCGCCAATTCGTTCGAGTTTCTCTGGATGAGAAATCGCGTAGAATATAAGTTTTTGCATATTAGACGAAATGAGTCCATCAGTGATTGCTCGTGGGTAGATGGAATCCACCAAGCGACGATATCTGCAATGGATCATGTAGTTAAAATTCCTGCATCTGCATTTCGTTGAGAATGTGCAATAAACTACTTGACTTCCGGGTTTGTGATATAACATGCCGTATCAAATCAACGCAGAAGCAAGAAAAAAACTATTGACTTGGCGCAAACAAAATTCTATCACATGAGCAAGATGATGAGCAGTATAGGAGACATTATGAGATATATAAAAAGGTTCCTTCCTACACAAAAATTCATTCAGTAACATCATAAAATGTGCTGTTCTGCTCTCTCTATAGAGAAGCCATTTTCTCTTAGAAAACTATTGCAAACTGTAATCTCAAAGAGCTACTATCTTAGCGGTGCTCCCAAATAAAACAATTGTTGACTTTCCCCTATCCAGGCGTCAAATTTAGCCCTGCACCCAAAAAATATGATGAAATATGTAATCACACTTACATTTATGTCCTCGCAATCCTAATTGAATCCAATAGGACAAGCTAATTGTATCAACTGGCTTCAATAAAGTTAGCGA